ATCATAAGTTTCATACAATTTTTTTATATCACATTTTCATATAATTTTTATATGTCATTAAATAAATTGATACATTTAATATCATAAGTTTCATATGAATTAAAAAAACTAATTATTTAAATGACATGTCAAGTTGTACAAAAATGTGGGAGAAAAGGTTGTATAAAAATCATTTTCCTTGTTTTTTTTACCCATGTCAACTTATTATATTAGGTGTTAGGTGTCATTGCCACATGATAAAAAAATTTAAAGAAAAATATCATTTTGAAATATTTTAACTACCACGATGTTACTTAACTGATAGTTAGATTAAAAAATATATATTTTTCAAAATTAAGGGATAAAAAAATATAAAAAATAGTTAAATGATGAAATTTGTTCAAAATTAAAAGTTTTTGCATTCAATTTGGCATTTAACCTTAAAAAAATTGCTAGCTAGAAGCCTACTAATTTATGTATATATTAAAAGGGATATAATCTCTTATTCAACATATTACATAACATATTTATTAAAAAATTATTATTATTTTTAAATTAAAGGTAGATAAAATTTAAAGATGTAGTCATATATATATCTTTTCACCAGAAATTGCAAGACTTAAGATTGCCACATGTCAATTTATTTTAAATGGTTGGAAGAGATTGAGTCACATCAGATATATAGTTTTGAGGCCCTTAATAGATTAGATGCCACATAATTAAAAAAAAAAAGGAGAGAAACGGGAGGGGTTGAAAAGATGGGATTTATCTGTTAGTTGCCCATTTGAGTCATAGTGGGATTGTTTCAGCTAGTTTATAGGAGTTTATTTTAGTTAATGTTGTAAGTTGGCAGATAATATGGACAAATGGTGAAATCTAGATGGAGATTTGACTTAGTTAATTGTTGAGGTGCCCATCTTCTTTAGGAAACCACCCACATTCATGTAACTGCCTAGTAATGGGAAATTACAGGCGAGGAGGAGACAAACAAAAGGAAATTTTTTTATCATTCAACATACAGTCAACCCTACACATAACTCATCAAATTTTCAATTATTTAGTTTCTCAGCAATTGCTCATTGTAGATTATAGATTTCAGTTTTCAACATAGAACCCAATAGATTTAGGTTGTTTTCAATGTTCAAATATCCAAATTAGTTCACGTAGTTGCTTCTACAATTCCTTTTATTTAATGAATATCAAGTTTTTCAATTTCTATAAGGTACTGTTCTTTTTCTGATTGGTATTAGTTTAATGTTTATGATAAGTAGTATTTCTCCAAATGATTACTTATATGGTGATCATGGCTTTTTGTAATTATTGGCATGTTAGTTTAACCTCTATTCATATTAGGTTCATGTTTATTTAGGGTTAAATCTCTAGTTTTGTGCTAGTTTGATTTCCAGATCTGTCTATAGATAGTGGTTTAATTCAACAATGAACATGTTTAATTTAATTTGGATGCATCTTTTATTTACAAATTTACTTTGATTTGCAGGCCATTTAATTCATTTAAGATCTGTTAACTCATGATTAGGGATGTCAACGGGGGCCCACGGGCCCGGGGAGTCCATCTTCGTCCCCGCAAATGGCAGGGATTTTTAACGGGAGCAGATTTTGCCCCCTATCCTCATTCCCTGTAGGGAATGAGGATCCCCATTCCCCACCAATTAATATTAAGTTATATATCTTTTACACACCTGCATTAGGACCAGCAACAAACCTTTTAAAAAGTTTATACTTTAAATAGAACAGATTGAACAAGACTCATAGTATGATGGCAAAGTTAAAAAAAAAAAAAAACCAAACCAATTCATAAATTCAAAAAATAAAATAAAGAGTCTTCTATCTGAATGATGAATTATGTTCTAAAGCACCAAACTTTAACAGTTAATAAAATTTACACATTCATATTAATAGTAATATATAAACAATCTCGTATGAATGTAATATAAAGTTACATCCCTACAACACCTCCAGTAGTCTCTGAAGATACGGACGAGAAAGGAAGCTCGCAAACTGCAATTGAAGCTCCGAAATTGGCTGCAAAGCGAATTCATGGACACCACCGCTACCAACGCCGATGGTGAAGAGATCGAAGTCATAGTGCCGCACTGGCTGGGTGACATTTTCAGACTTGACACGACTGACAAAATGTTGGCGGCACTGATGCTGATGGTGGTGAGAACGAGAGATCGATCTGAAGGGACTGTGGGAGAGAAGCTTTAGGGTTCTGGGAAATGGAACTGAGATAGGGAGACTTCTGCAGAGCGTTTGGATGGTGGGAGAAGGGAGCTTCCGGGTGGTGAGAGAAGTTGTGGTTAAAAAGGGGAGGGGAAGCTAGAAGGTGAGAGTGAGCCACAGAAGAAGGGGAGGGAAAGCTTAGCCGTAGAACTGCAGAACAGAAGGTGAGACTATTAGAGTAAATGAGTGATGAGAAGGGTTAGGGTTATGGTTAATAATGGGTTGGACTGGGTTGGGTTGGATCAGGTAACATTAGATTAAGTTTAATTTTAATTAGATTGAATTTGGGTTTGAATTTGAAGGTTAAATTAAATTTAAAAATAAAGTAAATTTAAATATTTTTTAAATTTTTGCGGGGATGGGGATTCTCGCTGTGGGGAGAAAATACCCCGCATCCCCGCCCCGTCCCCGTGATGAGGATCCTCGCGGGGCCCCGTGGGGATCGGGGGAAATTGCCGTCCCTACTCATGATAGTGTTTAAGTCCTTGAAGGTGTCTAAGGCAGATTTACCAACCAATTTTGTAGAAAGTTATCCCTCAAAGGCAGATTTAACAACCAAATTTGTAGAAAGTTATCCCTCATTCTTGTAAATTGTCTGAAAGTGTAGATTTCATTTCAAACCAACGTTCTTTCAATCATCCGCAAGGAGGTTGACTATGAGGAAAAAGTAGGGGTGGCAATTTGCCCCGATCCTTGGAAGGCTCCACAGGGATCCTCCCCATGGGGACGAGGCAAGGAAGAGTATTCCTCCCCGCAAGGCGAGGATGGGGGGCATTTTCCCTTGCGGAATTTTGCAAGGCATTTTCCCCATCCTGTAAGGCCCCACAAGGATCCTCCCCCTCAAAGATTAAAAAAATATAGAAATTAATTTTATTTTAGATTTAACTCAACCTCCAAACCCAAACTCAATCCAATAAAAATGAAAATTAACCCAATTTTACCCAACCCAACCAAACCCATTATTAACCATTTAATCTTAAACTTGCCCATTCCTCATCACTCTCACCTTCCCGGCTTCTCCTCCCCTTCTGTCGTCGCACTCTTCAAGAATCACAGACCCCAAATCCCTCAATTGCCACCCTTTTGCCCTTGTCACCCTTCTACCCTTCTTAGTTCTCACCCTTCTGTTCTGCCCTTAACTTCCCCTCCTTTTCTATCGTCACACTCTTCAATAATCTCAGATAGTCAGACCCCAAATCCCTCCATTGTCACCTTTTTGCCCTTCTCAGTTCTCACCCTTCTACTTTTGCCCTCAATGTCACTTTTGCCTTTGCCTTTCTCATTGTCACCCTTTTACGTTTCGTCCTTCTCTTCTTTCTGCCCTTCTCAGTTCTCACCCTTTTGCCTTCACTTAAACTAGATACAATAAAAGTATTGATGTGTCTTCAAGATTGGTTAAGAGCAAATCTCAAAGGTATTAAGTTTATATTTCTTTTATTTTTTATGATATATTTCTTTTGTTCTTTAATTAAGTAGTTAATTTTCAATCTAAATTTTCTTGTTTGAAATAGGTTCTTTGGATGATGTAAGTTTCTTTACTCTTAATAAGGATGTGGACTATAATAAAGAAAATAATTCAGAAGTAAAATATACATGACCTTTTTTTATACTAATAATATAAATAGTTTTTCTATAAATATGTTAACATGAAGTATTTATTAATTGTATTGTAGACTTTTTGATAAGAAAATGTGGACTTTGAGAGCTAAGGTGTTTTGAGTTGGCTGCCTCCTTTCATGCTCAAATTTGGATATTGGTTTAGTTATTTTATTTATGTTGGATTAATTTTTGCTTATATTTGGAACAAATATGTTGGTTTAATTATTTATGTTGGATTAATCTTTATTTATGTTTGGAACAAGTTTGTTAGTTTATTTATTTATGTTAAATTGATCTTTATTCATATTTTGACAATTTATATTTGATTTTATATTTAAAGAATTTTAGTTAATTATACTTGAATTTTTAAAATTTTATTTATTGTAATTGAATATTAATTAGTTATATGTAAACAATTTACATGTTAATATTAATTGACGATGAATGGGGACAGGGACTGGGATGGACTTCCTGCCCTCGCAAGGGCCATTACCATCCCTAAGAAGGAAAGGGTCATTGGAAAAATTCTCTTTTTTTGATTTTTAGTAAAATAAGTGGTATGTCCACATTTAAATTGTGTATGTGTAATGTAGCATCGCTTGAGGATTTTGAGGAAACAATATAACATATGAGAACCAGTTAAATCAACTATGTTTATATTATATTTTAATAATTAAATCAAATAAGTACAAAAAAATATATTGAATTAAAAGATATATTAAATATTTTTGGTATTAAAAAAAAAAAAAGAGAAAAACCGAATGCGGGACTTATTTTCCGTATAAAAAAAAAGGGAAAAAGAAAAAACTGATGCGGGCGGTCTTTTGACGCTTTCATCAAAGGAACAGTGAACAATCTTTCCAAGGAATGCTCTTTGCAATGCGCTCCGAGCCAAATATATCTTCTACGGTTTTTCAACAAGCCAATACCACAAACAATACTACTTTCAAGAGAGCTAGGACAATAATTGATATATTTTTAATTGAATATATTTTATAATATATTTATTAAAAAATTATTATTTTTAAATTTAAATTTAAAGTGAAAAAAATTTTACTTGTAAAATTTAATGACTAAACTGATAAATATTACTGGATATGTAAACTATTGGACCAAAAGGTTGGTAGGCCAAGCCTAATCAATTTTAAGTGAAGAAACAGTTAAAATATACATTTAGCCATTTACCTTATTAAATTTAAATTTTTTAATTTATTATCTTACCTTATAGAGTTTTTAGTTCTTGAACTTAAAAGTTTTAAAATTTTAATCCCTTGTTAACTCTTCAAAGAATAAAAAGTTTATAGAATTAGTACTTAAAGATTAGAAAGGTGATCGTTTAGTTTCAAAAGTTTAAAAATTAAAAAGTTAGTATCCTAAAAAGAATAAATAGATGACTTTGGCACATACATAAGAACAATATTATATATTTGCAATCAAATTGAGCAATTAGTTTAATTTAAAGAAAGAATTCTGATTGGGATAAAGAAGTCATTAGTCTACTTTGCTAAAGAAAATATTGACTTGTCAATTGTATAATCGTTCACTTCTATTATTCAAGTTTATTCTTTTGGTTTTTTGGACACTATCTTAATTCAGCCAAAAATATTCTTTAATTCTAGTTAAAATCTTGATTTGATTAGGCTAATTAATTGATTTGATTACAGATATCTAATATTATTCTCGATAATGTGGTAAAGTAATCCATCAATTCTTCTTAAGTTACTAATTTTTTTTCAGTTTTAAACTTTTGGGACTAAATTACCACCTTTTTAATTTTTGAAGACTAATCTTGTAAATTTTTATTTTTACTTTAACAAAGGGTTAATAAATTTTGTTGGTTTAAACTAAAATCTTCAAACTTTTAAGTTCAAAGAGTAAAAACTTCTTAATGTATGATGAGAAACTAAAAGTTTCAAATTTAATAATGCAAAGATTAAACATATGCTTGGATATGAGGAAACATCATAAAAATTAAGAAAAAATATTTATCTATTGAATACTTGACTTTATAAAAAATTGAGCTAAAAAGTATTGTAAAATTATTTCATTTCAATAGAGTATTAAGGGAAAAGGCTAAAATTTTTTTAATTCTTACCTTAAAGACATGTTATTCTATGCTTTGTTTAGTATAGTTTTGATTTTGAGTTTTTAATTTGAATATTGATTAGTACACATTTTGATTTAAATACAATACATAATATACTTATTAAAAAATTATAATTTTTAAATATGAAATCAAAGGCAGACAAATTTTAAAATATAACCATGCGTATATGATGCTGTTGACGACCACTTGAGATTTTTTTCAAAATAAATTGAAAAATTAAGTGTGAAATATATAAGAAAAAGGGGGTCGCCACTCGTCCAAATTATAAGGTGGGATAAGTCACCTAAAACGGGTCTGCATAGAGATTGGGATTCGGGAGTTCGGTTAGGAGTGAGGAAGGGCATACGCGCACCTCACAATCCTCCGTTTAAACACGGTTGCATACTTTAACATTGGGGTTTTGATTCAACTTATTTATTATATTTATGTTTGAGTCTTAATAGGCAAGCCTGAAAAAGGGATAGACCAAATTGTGACATTTTAAATTTTTGGGCAAAAATGGACAAGATCAAAGGCATGCATGCACAATGAACACAAGTAAAAATTAAGGGGACTAACTTGACTAAATTCACGAACATAGAGGACTGATTTGAAAAAGAGTTGACCCATGGACCAAATTGTTTAATCTTGAAAGTTCTGGGTAAAATTGAAACAAGGAAAGATAATTTTGCCTTTTAGCAAGATTAAAGGAAATTAAGGACTTAAATTAATTAACTAAGATAATTGATTTAATTAAATGAT